CTTAAAAACTATCTAGTTCAGCTCTCCACATTTGATGTATAAGAAACCACAGCCAAAGAACAAATAATATGTCCAAAGGTCACTTTAGGAACAAGTTGGGAAGTTAGGACTAAAACACCAACCGGAGACCTTGGCTTGAAATGTGTGCTCCATGGTACACACCAGCTGTCGCTTAAACTCTCTATACCTCAATTACTTTCCTATAAATTGAGAATAGTAACGCCAACTCTGACAGTTAAATGAGATGATACAGCTGAAGTACTTGGAGTCATACTTAACATAGCAGTCAGTGAGGGGAAGATTACATGTTCTTTGTCATTTCACCACTCAGAGTACAGATCCTATGGAGATACTATAGTCATTGCTATGTGGGTGGCACAGGCTTAGATTTGTTGGTTTGCTAGTCCCACTGTGGAATTATGCAATAGGATAAGTCACAAAGGACAGCCTTCAGGGACTGCCTTTGGGATTACTATTCCAAACCTAAAATATTTAAAGACAGAAATTTGCTGAACCCAGGGAAAAGCCAGATGTTCAAAACTGAGTGAGTGGCTTTCTGGCCAAGACAATATCACTTCTAGATAGATACTGGTTATTAAAGCCCTTCTAATTTAATATCCATGGAGTGCTAAATCTAAATATTTGAAATAGAGATAAATACTCTAGATGTCTGTGCACATTTCCACTCAGCCTTTACCAATTACTGTCCTCAGTGTTAGATACATTTTGCTCATATGCTACAACCACACAGTTAGTACCCTTCCTTCCTAGTGAAAGAGTCTATATTTCTAGCATGACCAGAACAAACAAAGCAATTTTATTTTTAGACTACCATTGTTTTTAGTTCTTTTGTCCACAAAGCCATAATGAGACACATACAAAATATCCAATTTTAGATCTGTTTTGCTACTAGAATATTTTCTTTCAGGAGAAAAAAAATACAGAGGAAATTACTATACAAATAATTGCTTCCCTCTGTCAACAGTGCTGGCAACCACTGAGCAAAGCACTTTGGGGTTCCCTAGGCTTTGCCCCGATACCGCCATGTCCAAGGTGGCTCTTGAACGGGCCACACATTCTTCCTGACCTCCAGTGGAAAGATCTGGTTTGGATTAACTTGAAAAGCAAGAACTTGACTGGGGATCACAGACGTTATACACTGAGTTACTACTTTTTAAATTCAGAAACTTGGTCCAAGAGACCAAATAAATGTACTGAGAATATTGTAGCAAGAGAAAAGTCTGTAGTAGGGATTGGTTTCAGTGAAACAGGGACCCAATCTTTCAGTATAAAGGTAGCAGGGGTGGAGAACCCAAACTTATACTGTGAAGTCATTCCTGATTCTTGACCATGAATTCCACAAATTCCTGTTCTATTTTCACTTACTTGACTCCCTGATGCAATACCTTATTAATCTGCAAATACAGAGATTTTTTTTTTTTTTGGTTTTTTGAGGAAGGGTCTCCTTTTGTAGTTCAGGCTGGCCCTGAACTCACTATGTAGCCCCGGCTGGCCTTGAACTCAAAGCAATCTTCCTGCCTCAGCCTCCCAAGTGCTGGGATTACAGGCGTGCACCACCATGCCTGGCATATACATAGAGTTTTTTTTTAATTGCTGACATATATGCTTTTAATATATATATATTAGGTGCAAAGATTAGAAGCCATGAAGCAATTCTTCTTGCTTTCAGCAAAAATAAATAAAAATAAATAAAATAAATAAAATTCAGGTAAGGAAATGATTAGTAAACAAAAACAAATTCAATTCTGTCTTCTCTTTTTGTTTGTTCAACTAGTAGAATGGGCGTCTCCTCTTCCTAAGCCCGTGGAATAGTCAGATAACTGCAGACACGGGAGTTTTTCATAAGTTCATAGTTCTCACGTCAATTCTGAGAGGAGGAAGGAACGCATCAGAGAAGGTCATTTGTGGTGCACAGGCTCTGCTAGGCACAGCTCGGGGTGTCTTTGCATTCGTCCTCTCGGCCTCCCTTTGGGGGGCCCATCAGCAGCCCCCTGAGGACCCAAAGCTGAACCTGCAGGCCTGGGTCCAGCAACTCTTGGGGTGGGTGCGGGCACTGCTGGAATATTTTGACACCCCTGAGGTAGAGCCTGGTCAACCTAGATACGCCCACACCACCCAGCCCTGAGGAAGACCAACCTTTACACTCCTCTTTAATTGCAGTGGGACAGAAATTTCAGGAGAAGAATCTACAGTCAGAGCCTCTGCCCTGCTGAGACTACAGGTTTTGGCAGTCTGCCAAGCTACTTAAGGAGCCATTCAGAAAATAAGTGATTGTCTCTTCAAAGAAACTTCTTTCAGAAATACATAAATAAATAAATAAATAAATAAATAAATAAGTAAGGCGGCAGGCAGCATTCCCCTAGATTCCTACCTCAGAGAACTGGAGTGTTTTTCCCTGGGGTCAATGATCAGCATAGGAACCAATCATATTTTCATTTTTGTTTTGGCTCCTGGCAAACATAACATCCCATTTACAGCTCAATTTCATTAACCTTGCAGAGCTCACTAGTCTAAATATTTATTCTAGCTCTTTACCTGGCCTTGTCTTTTTATATTTATATATTTTAAAGTACCGACTTTCAACTATTCTATACTAGCTCGTAAATTATGTATGCTTGCTGACAAACCCCATTCCTATGTTACCAATAGGTAAAGTAAATAATTATTTCATGGGTTGGGTCCCTCTTTTTTGTACCTGATATGGTTGTTAGTATACGTTAATTGTCATTACTACTCAATATTGCAGGCGTGCACCAGTTCTATTAATTGTATTCAAGGGGGTTTTTTCTTTATTCAGTCAACAAATCTTTCTTGAATGTGCACCTCATGCCAGGCACTTAGCTATGGGTGCAGCTTGCAATGGAAGCAACACACACATAGTTTCTGCTTTCAAGAAGATGATCCAATTGTCACACACAAAAACACTCAGGCCACTATCTGCAGAAACGACAAGAGCAAAGTGCAGTAAGGTAGAGGAGCCCATAGTAAGCAGAGGATTAGAGCAGTCATGAGGGTAGGCAGAGAAATGTGTGCTGGGGAGAAACCCTACATAATGGTAAAAGAATTCTTCCAGCTACTCCTCAGAGAACTAATATCTAGAATACATAAAGAACTCAAAAAGACACACTCGCCCAAAAGAAAAGACCTAACCAAAAGATGGGCTAGTGAAAAGGATAGACACTTCACAGAAGTGCAAATGGCCAATAAATACATGAAGAAATGCTCAACATCACTGACCATTAGAGAGATCCAAATTAAAATAACACCAAGATTCCATCCTACCCCCAGAAAGAAGGGCCATGGTCAAGAAATCAAATAACAAATGCTGGCGAGCCCAAGGGGAAAAGGAGCACTTCTACACTGTTGAGGGGAATGTAAACTAGTACTATGGAGATCAGTACAGAGATTCCTCAAGAAACTAAAACTAGGGCCGGGGATTTAGCTCAGTGGTTTCACTGCCTGCTGCGCAAGCGCAAGGACCCAAGTTCAATCCCCGGTACTGAAAAAAAAAAGAAAAAAGAAGAAACTGAAACTAGAAATTCCATTTGACCCAGCTATTCCCTTTAGGTATCTTTCCAAAAGAGTTAAAGACATCATATTACAGAGATACATGCATATCCATGTTTATAGCTGCACAACTTATAATGGCTAAATCTGGGAAGCAGCCTACATATTCATCAACAGATAGATGGAGAAAGAAAATATGGTATTTATACAGAATATTACTCTGCCATAAAGAAGGATAAACTTCAGTCATTTGTAGGAAAATGAATGTATCATATTAAGTGAAATAAATCAGATTCCCAGGCTTATCATATGATTTTTCTTTTATGAGAAAATCAGAATACAAAGAAAAGATGGACAACAGGAAGTCAGGAGATAGATCTTTCTCAAATGGGAAGGGGATTGAGAGATGAACAGAAGTGGGCAGGAATAGAGGAAAGAGGATGAAGAAAGGAATTAAGATGTGTTATGTGCATGTACTAACTCCACACAAAGAATATAAGCATTAGGTACTGTAACCATGGACTAACAAAAAATAAAAAATATTATAGGGTTATGGGTGTCAGCAATTTAGGAGAAGTTCAGTTATATCACAACCCCACGTTTTTATCAGAACCCTGCTGCAGAAGCTCAGAAATACAACCACAAATTTTAATTGAGAAAAATTGCTCTGGGCCAAATTCCTTGATTTTTTTCCCCAAAGAAACAGATGAGATCATATTGGAAAGGGGAGAATGGCAATATGAGTTTTGAATTAGTTCTAATGAAATGGAGGAATGATTGTAAACCAAAACAAACAAGACTTTGGGGTGGAAAGGAAAGTGGCTTCGTCCAAACCTGAGAGGCCAGTGGTCTGGAACCTGGAGAGTAAGGGAAGGGCCTGCATTGAGACATACACAGCCATGCTAAAGGTTCTGCTCTAGGTCTTAAAAACAATGCTGAGGCTGGGCGTGGTGGCGCTTCTCTGCAATCCCAGCCTTCGGGAGGCTGAGGCAGGAGGATTGCCACCATAAATTCGAGGCCAGCCTGGGCTACATAGTAAGTTCAAGGCCAGTCTGAAACATAATGAGACCCTATGAAAGAAAGAAAAAGAAAGAAAGAAAGAAAGAAAGAAAGAAAGAAAGAAAGAAAGAAAGAAAGAAAGAAAGAAAGAAAGAAAGAAAGAGAAAA